ACCTTTACTTAACTTCCAAATGTGGCAAGTAGGAAATTCCCAGCAGTTACAAGTATGAAATTATGAAAAGGTCCCCATTTACATAATCTTTATCCTCAGATGTTTTCTCTCGTTCTCAAGTTGTCACCAGTGTTTCATAGTTCTATTATCGAACAAAGCAGATTTATAGAATTTCCTCATTAATTATGCAAAGTAGCTCCTGATTTGCATAATGGTCATCTGATTATGTCAAGCTTCACTTCAACTACCTACATACCAAAATCACGACAATACGTCAACCGGTTCTTCAGTTATCCTCCGAAAATTTCTAAACAAATGCTCCTGAAGTTCCAGAACAAGCCGCTAGGGGACCCAAACTCATGTCACTTCTTCCCTATCCCAAGAGCTATATGCCATCCAAAATTCGTGACCCTAGCATGTCCAGATCACGAGATATCAAAACCGGAAGTTTGTCTGGTACAAGCGCTAAGGATATGTACAGTACATGTACACAATAAACAATCGATAGTACTGAGGTCCAACCCGATTAAAAATTCAGGTCGACCAGGAGTTTTGCTAGTGCAGGGATCGCACTGGTTGTGTAGCGCTTAGTGCCCTTGGCCTGGCAGTAATGGAGAGAGTTCATTAGCGATCTACCGTGTAGTTGCCCTTTAGTCGATGGTAGCCAGGAGCGGAAACGTGACGATTGTCTGATTATTTTGGTTGCGAAGTTGCAAAAAAGAAGAAGAAACACGAGAGAACACAATATGCTTCACCACACATAGTGTGGTGATGCCATAACAACACCTCACAATTGGTCCGTGTCGGGTAGAGATCAATAGTAGAGATGATCTCTACTATTGTGTGTAAAGGTCACAAAACCGCCTGGCGTCTGGGTGTGCCCCAAACAACGCGACGAAAAATCACTGAGAAGGAGTTGTGTGTCAATACGGCCAAAATGTTTTAGTAAGTTTTACATATACATAGCTCACGATATGAAGCTGCATATATTTACGTACTGTTATAACTGTTTCACAACAAGTCTGCATACAGCGCCAATGTTTATACGGTGTTCCACTAGATCAGAGTAGGTACTAGGCATTTCGATTCTTTATTTGATGCAAAGCTGTACAGAGTATTTCTAATCTAAATGCCTACC